AAAAAAAAAAAAAAAAAAACTCTCTCAGACTAGATTTGTGAAGTCGGTTTTGGGTATTTCTTCAAGAAAATGTCCTGTCTTAGCAAATTCCCACCATTCATATTCTGACAAAGGAAAGAGGGCATTTCTCTGCCTTCTGAAAGACAGACTGAAAGGAGAAGCTTGAGAACCTTAATTCGTGCTGCAAATTTCCACCCTAGAAAAGTTTGCCTGCCTTTTTGAAAGCACACAAACACATACATCACACGTGCCCGCATTGTCCCCCACGTCTCAAACACACCTGCATGCACACACTCCACTTACTTTCCTGGTCTTTAAAGTGTCTGAGTCAACCAGCCTGCAGAACAAACACTCTATGGAGCATGTTTAAAGAGGAGGCAAAGAATCCGGCCAGACTCTAACTCACCACTGAAAGCTTACTTCAGGACAATTTACTCGGTAACCAAGCCACTGCTACAGTCTGGAGCTCTCTTCTGAAAAAAAAAAAAAAAAAAAAATGGGTGAGTCAGAACAAGCCCCCGACGAGCATCGATATTGTTCCTTTGCAGTTGTAGGTTGGAATTTGAAATCTGAAATGTGTCCCTTTACTGCCCTCGGATATTCATTTTTCCCTCAGGAAACTGAACCAAATCTTCATCAGCTACGTCTTCAGCGTATGACACAGAGAAAACAATGGCTGCAGATGACAATGATGCGACAACCTATGGAAGAGAGACCTGACAGTCAATATCCACCTACAACTTCAGGACCAAGGTGACTTTTAAAAATTAGAGCCAGAGGATTATAAAAATAATATTCAGGGCAGGAAACAAATCTAAACTTGGCTTTGTCAGTTATATATGCATATATCCACGCCAGTGGGTACTCATAATGGCTGTTTATACAGGAAGAAAACCTCAATTCAATGTGTGCGTTAAACAGTAGATAATTAGGATGAGAGGAAAAGACAACACACGTTTTAGGTCATCAACTCCAACTAGAAAAAAAAAAAAAGAGTGAAGCCATTTATAAAGTAATTGTGTGCAATGGAGGCTGATATAAAACAGAGAGGAGAGTAGACTAGATAAATCGATAGGTCGATAGAGAGAAAGAAGATAGAAAATCTCCTTGAATCCTTACACCAAGTATCTAAGGTGAGTTTTAATATCCAGACTTTAAAGATGGTAGGGGGCACAGGACGGACGAAGGGGAGTGGGAGATACAGATTCCCAGTTCTGGAATGAGTGAGTCACAAGGATGAAAGGCACAGCATAGGGAGTATAGCCAATGGTATAGTAATAGCCTTGTGTGATGACAGACAGTAGCTACACTTGTAAACACAGCATAATGCATAGAGTTGTGGAATCACTATGTTGCACACCTGAAACTAATGTAACATTGTGTATAACGCTTTTAGTTGCAGATTTCAGTCATTGACAACATGTGTCTATACCAAGATTTTCTGCACTGTACTCCATAGGCCATTACTCCAAATCAAAATGGGACTCTGGGATTCGAATCATTTGGAGAAGCACTGATTTAACATCACGAGAAATTTCTTTATTGCATGCATACACAAATACAGAAATATTTTTGAAAGATGGGAAAACTGAGACTAAGCAACTCAGAATGACTTGGCTCAGAGCTTGAACTCAAACCTACATCAGGCTGCCTCTAAGGCCACGGTCCTCTTACTATGTCCGGGAGTTCACAGAATGCTCCTTATGAGAAATCAGGATGAGAAGTGTGCATTCCGGAAAAGATGCGTGCACACTGAAATGGATTTATATGCACAAAATGGGCGTTAGAGCCTGTGCTAATAAGGGAACGTTTCCAAATGGAAACAAGATTGGTAAACACTGCCTTACTTTATTTACATAATTGAATCTTGAATATTAGGTTTAATCAAAATGAATAGAGAGAGCAAAATAATAGGTTTCATATGGGATTGATGATAGACTTTAAGTTGTAGACATAATATAATTGGATATAAATTGGGCAAGTTCATAATTTTAATTTAATAGGCTCTATAAAAGCTCTAGAAAACCAAGTACGATAGTGACATTTGTGGGAAAAGACACTTTTAGTTTTAGATTTTAGTCACTGACAGCATATATCTGTGCCAAGATCTTCCACATTGTACTCCATAGGCCATTACTCTTAAATCAAAATGGGACTCGAGGATTCAAATCATTTGTAGAAAAGCTGATTTAACAACACGGGGAATTTATTGCACGTATGTAAATGTAAATCTCCAAGGAGACTCTGGGATGCCCAAACTTCCTTGTCCATGGGATGCCATGGGAGCATGTAGCAGGACATGTTGCCCTTAAGGAAGAATTTGGGAAATACTTGTCTATGCAATCGTTGGCTAAGAAAAAAGTTTGACAGGAGTTAAGAATAGCCAAGTTGTGGGGCACCTGGGTGGCTCAGTCGGTTAAGCGTCCGACTTCAGCTCAGGTCATGATCTCATAGTCCATGAGTTCAAGCCCCTCATCGGGCTCTGTGCTGACAGCTCAGAGCCTAGAACCTGCTTTGAATTCTGTGTCTCCCTCTCTCTCTGCCCCTCCCCTGCTCAGGCTCTGTCTCTCTCTGTCTCAAAAATAAATAAAAACATTTTTTTTAAAGTTTAAAAAAGAGAAAAAAATAGCCAAGTTGAGAAGAACAGTGCCTTGCCCAACAACTTTCACAAGATGTGTCTTACTTTATTCTTTCCCGTTTGGGCCTGAGCAAGACTGGGTAGTTCTCAAGAACCATTAACAGGAGATTCTCATTTTCTTCACTGTCCACACTCAACTATTTTAACCTTCATTAGAATGAAAGCATCCAAACTCAGGACAATTGACTTCATAATTACATATGGTTTAATGTTTCCTTTTCCCCTCAAATTAAAACTAGGAGCCCATTCCTTCGACCTGATTTCATTTTAACAACCTCCTATTGGTCTTTGGGGAAACATGAGGAAATCATGGGGAAAGGATTTTGAAGTTCAGTTGGCATAAGTGTACATTTAAATCTTCTCATCGTGATAGATTTGGGGCATGTTCTATGCATTTGATTTTAGTTCATAGACTGCCCCAGAGCGTCCAATAAATGATGTGGAGTAACTTTTAAAGTGGACAGTTATAAAAGTTCTCAGGAAGTGCACGAAGAGACGTGGAAGGATAGAGTAGTAACTTCTAGATTTCCTTACCCTCCATAACCTTAAAGGGATTCTTTGTCCTCTGTTAAAGGTTTTGGTAATTCTCAGAGGGCAGCTGGGAATTGGTTTCTGTGTCACACGGGCAAGATAATCAACCAAATTTCAGAGTGGAAGTGTCCATATGGTTGGGACGTGAGCTGTGGAAAAGCAGAGAAATGCCACTTCCTGGAAATTCTTCCAGGTCTTCAGGTATGCTAATTCCGATTATGGAAAAGAAAACAACAGGTGAGATCATTAACACTGATTGAGCACCTACTACTAGGTACTAGGTAGGCTATGTCAACAGCCTTCCCAAAACTATAATTGTAACCTGTATCATAAGCCTGCAATGTAAATGTCATTGACCTCATCTTAGACCCAGAGAGACAGAGTAAATCACCTGAGTTGCAAAGCTGGGAGTGGCAGAGCTAGGAGGCTTAATTTATTTGATTCTAAAGTCCATGCGTTTCCGGTATAAAACATGCCCTTTCCTGGAGGCCATAAGAAAGGACAAGATTTGAGAAATAAAGCTACTCATATCCTGAAAGGAAGGAACACGTCAAAAGCCATGAACTTCACCTCAACCCGGGGGGGGGGGGGGTCCACCGAAGGCAGAACCCAGGACCTAAATATTTAGTGAAGTTATCCAGTGGGCGTGTCACGTGCCGAAGCATTGTGGATTTGGCAATGACATTGAATACCCTCGAGAGCTCAAAGTATAATGGGAAGACACAGGCAAGTCTCCTTTCTCCAGAAAGTACCAGTAGAATCTAATTTGCAGAAATTTAGAGCCAAATGGATTTGATTTTTTTTCCTTTTTGATTGACATATTTGATTGACAAAGAAGCACAAATATAGTGTATAAAGCCCAGTATACTTTTACATATGCTTACACCTGTGTAACCACCAATTAAATTGAGATATAGGTCATTTCCAACTCTCCAGAAGGTTCCCTCATGCCCCTTCCAATCATTCCCCAAAGTAACCACTGGTCTTATTTCTATCACCGTAGATTAATTTTGCTTATTCTTGAATTTCGTATAGTGGAATCACACGATAAATGTTCTTTTGAATCTGGCTTACTCAACGTTATGTTGGTGAGCGTCATCCATATTGCTGCATACAGCAGCCATGCGGTCTTTCTCCTTGCTGTGTAGCATGTAAGTGTAGCACGCTTCATTTATCTATTATACTGTTGATGGTCATTTGTTTCCTGTTTGAGGCTATTGTGAATAAAGATGATATGAAAGGTCTTACCCATGCCTTGTAGTGGAATTTCTAGGCCATCAGATAGGCGTAGGTTTAGCTTTGATCTACCTCCAAGCAATACTCCAAAAATAGTTGTGCAAAGCCATTTTACCAATGCGCATCTCACGAATATTTGGTGTGATGAGTCCTTTTAATTTCAGCCATTCTATTGGGTATGTCGTGATATCTTGTCGTGGTTAAAATTTACACGTCCCTGTGGACTAATGACGTCAAGCACCTTTTCGTAAGCTTTACTGGCTCTTTGGATTTTCTTTTCTGTGAAATGCCTGCAGAAGTCCTTTGGAGTAATTTTGCTGCAGCTTGTGATGAGCCAGCTTTATTTCCAGCTTCGCATTGCATTAGATTTCCTAAAAGACACTTTTCTTCTCTCCAGTCTCCCCCCGCTTTCGGTGTCTCCCCCACTCCTCAGCCCCCTCCACACATACACACCCCCCTCCCCTCCCACTGTGAAGAGCTTGTATCAGCTAGAGATGAGAAACTATATTTTAGGCTCACCGGGAAAACCCAATTTCATTTAGAAACTGAAATAGATTATGACACTTCGGAAGGGTTCATCTCTGCCTGCTTGTTTTTCGCTTAATGCCCACTTCACATCTCTATTACAGCTCCGTGATTTACCATCCTCACATAAAAGAACCAAGTGGATTCTCTATCTCCCAGTGTGCTAGAAATACGGCATTACATATATTTAAAAAGCCTAAATCACAGTGAGCCCTGCAAAAAATATCCCAAGTATTGATTTAAACATGTATTTTTGCAACATGCCTTCCTGCACGCGCTGGGGAACATAAAGTGACCCATAAATATTCTGGAAGGACCACTTGTTTTCCATTCTTCTGTCACCCTGAGCCACAGAACCATCTTTTCCCGAGTGCTCCCACGATTTCAAACCAACAGGCAGGATGGCTGAGACAAGAAAGCTCCGGTTAAGTAGATAGCTGCAGGCCTACTGCTGACAGTGCTGTCACAGCCCCCTTCAGGCTCCTTCTAAAAATAATAATAAGCAACGGTTTCTCTACCCATCACCCTTCTCCCACATTGGAGAGTTCAAAGGGGTACCGGTATTAATTCATTAATTGCACAACAGCCTTCCGAGGGAAGGAAAGGCACGCGACTCCAGTCTCCGGGAAGGACTTTAGGACCTGGGTGCGTGTGTGCTCCAGGTCATGGAGGAAAGCAAGAGAGTGGCTTCATGAAATCCATCACATCACTGAACTACGGAGCCATGGGATTTTAGAGCTGGAAGGACCCATCTAGTAGAAACCACCTACCTTCCCATGAAGAAGCTCAGACCGAAAGAGCTTAGGGGCTGCCCGAGGTCACACAGAGAAAGGGCTGAGGGTCCCACCTTAGATCATGTAGAGACTAATCGACTGAAATAAGATAAGATCCAGGTTCTCTGACTCTCCGTCCAAGACATTAAGCAAAAACAACATCAAGAAGAAGGGGCATGAAAAAAGAAAAAGTAAACTTTTTAAAAAAGTGTTTATTTCTTTCTTTTGAGAGAGCGAGTGAGAGTGAGCAGGGGAGAGGCAGAGAGAGAGGGAGACAGAGAATCCCAAGCAGGCTCCACACTGTCAGTGCAGAGCCCAGTGTGGGGTTCGAACCCACGAACCGCCAAGACCGTGACCTGAGCCGAAACCAAGAGTTGGAGGCTGAACCCACGAGCCACCCAGGCGCCCCAAGAAAAAGTAAACTTTTATCATCCTTAAGATTCCAGGGTAGTTAAATCAAAATTTAACTACCTCCGGTAGGTCAACAGGAAGTAAGTAGCGGATTAGAACCCATATCTGACTGATGCCAAAGTCCACACTCGGAACCACCCCCTTTCTAGGGTAAGTAAATATTTGAAGTGCTTTACGGCGGTTGAAGAAAGTACTTAGGAATTTTCTTTAAAAGAGTCTAGAAAATTAGACAAGTGGTTTAAGGGTATGGTGGGGAAGAAAGCTTTATTCTTTTCATTCCGTGCCCCTTTTCACTGTTTGAATATTTGTTAACCATCATCCATGTACTGCTTTAGTTGTTAAAAAAAAAAAAAAAAAAAAAAAAAAAGATGTGGCTGACACATTTTAAGGATTCTACTAAACTATAAGAGGTCATTTAATTAAAAGTAACAGGGAAAAAAGCCACAAATTCGTCTCCCAGCTCACAATTTGTGCTTGCTTTAGAGCATTATTTCATCTCCTTGGAGCATCCCCACCATCCCCTCTCCCCACATTCTCTGACCATGTTTTTCATGTATCCTCTGGGTTTGCTACATGACAATTGCAGCTAAAAATAAGCTTGCTTCTGCCCACTCCCAGTTTATTATTTCCGTAAGCTCTCGCTCCATGTAATAACTTTATTATAGAGAATTTGCATAGGCCTTTATAGTCCTTATTCTCTCAAGAGACATTTATTGATCACCTACTATGACCTCACGACCCGGTCAACCTGAAAGACCGATATTCAAGCACAGTATTACCACACAGTCAAGGGAACACAGAAAATGCAGTTGGCGAAGAGAGGCTTTGGGGACACACAGGAAAGTGAAATGAGTCTGCGGGACGAGTTAGGAAAGGGCTCATGGAGAAAGCGGCATTTGACCTAGGCCTTGAAGGGCAAAATGGAGTCTCCCAAGAGCCAAGGAGGAAACAGGTTACTGTAAGCACATACAAAGGCAGGAGGCAAGGAGTAGGAGACACAGAACTGTATTCACCAGGATTTTCAAAGGCTGCTCCCCAAAGGAAAAAAGGCAGTCTAAATGGGAAACCAGAAAACACAAGCCAGTGGCTGTGGGAGGTGGGGAGCCCTAAGGGCAGCATATAGTTTGCAAGCAGACACAGAATGGAAAAAACCAGCGTGCAGGAGAAACAGCGGAAGCAAAGCATGAGAGATGATCTGTAGAGCATCTTACTGTCTACGTAAACACCTGCAGCATCGTCAAAAAGAGAAATCTGCTCTAGTGGCTAAGGATGCACACGTCAGTGATGAAACTACACACAGTCACTCGAGGACGTGATTGCTGTACGAGTGAGGGAGTGGGTGCTTCGGGGAGGATGAGGGGTGGTGACGGGGCAGGGCACGTGAGGGCCGCTGGGGTGGTTGGCAATGTTCTGTTTCTTGACCGAGGCAATAGTTGCCGTATAAATGATTCACTAAGTTGTTTGTTTTGGTGCTTTTACTATTTATGTTTATTTTACAATGTGAAGGGTTGCCAATACCTAAATTAAAGACGTGTCCAGTTTTTCAGATCTCTGGATAGACCGGGAGCTCAGAGGTTGGAGGCAAGCCTCCAGGTGGCTCAGCCATATTCCCGTCACATGTGAAAGAACAGTGTACTCAGGGCACATGGCAGAGGTCAGCGTGGCAGAGACAGAGAAGGTGGCTGCAAGGAGATCCAGATCTGTGACAGGGGAGGAAAGGTGGGGAACCTCAGGAAGACCTCAGGGGAAGGGGGCCACTCCCAAACGTGGTCCCCACTTTCGCAGCTTCTACCCAGAGGTCAGCATCCCAGCCTCCGGATGCCGCGGATGGCGATGGGACTCGTCGCTCAGAGGCAGGGCAATGAGATCAGCACCACCTGATCTCATTGGCAAAGGAAGAGCCAATGAGATCTCAGGGCAAAGGAGGAGCCCCGAGCCCCTCCTCCCCCTCCATGGGGAGCAACTCAAGGCAGCCCTTCGAACAAAGGATGGGTCCTCTTGCATAAAGAAGCAGGAGGAGAACAGAACAGGCCGATCTGTGGCCAGGACGGGGTGTTCATTCCAGCTTTCTGGCCCAGCACTCTTAAGGTGTTTGTCCCTTGGGAACGAAGAAAGGACAGATCTCTAAAGGCTTGGGAGGAAAGCACACACAGTGCCCTGTGGTGAGACCAGGAGACCACTTGTAGCCCCAGAACTTGTCACACAGGAAGTCCCAAGGACAGCTGCTGGACTCAGTTTGTCCCTACGGTTCTACCGACGTCACCATTTTTTCTCCTCCATCTTCGCCCCTGCGGTGTCAACCCCACCGTATAGTCAGAAGGGCGCTTGGGCTCCGGGATCAAACTGAACCGGACCAAACAAGACCAGAGCCCTGCCATGTAAGATCTCTGTGGCCTTGAGAAAGTGATTCGATCTCTCTGGTCCTCTCCTCTAACGTGAGGACAAGAACACTTCACTCAGAGGCTTCTTGCCTGGACTGTATGAAGTATTAGCTACAAAGCACCATCTCAGAACCAGACACTTAGTAGACTCTCAGAAAATGAGGAGTCTGTTGTTACAATTAGGTAGAATTCGTGAGCATTTAAAAACAAAGACAAAAACAAAAATGCAGAAGGAGATAACCCCCGGAATGACTAAAATCAAAAAGACCAACAATGCCTAACAGTGGTGAGAATGAGAGCAGCCAGAATTCTCATAAACCCTGGTGCAAGAGTGAATTTGTCCCAACAACCTTGGGAAGCTGCTCGGCAGAATCTACGAAAGCTGAACAACGCACCCCCTGTAGCTCAATGATCGCGCTCCCAGGCAGACCATATACCCGACAGAATACACACCTGCGTGCCCCCCAAATATAGGAATGGTTGTAGCAGCATTTTTCATCATACCCAGAAACTGGAAGTTAACCAAATATCCATCAGCAATAGAACAAATAAATAAAAGCAGGCAAGCCTCATCCGTGGAGTTGGTTGGTGGTCAGGAAACTTTCGTTATTCCTGGGGCGGAGGCAATGGGTTGGTGGCTGGGAAGGGATAACAGGGGGACTTCTGGAGGTCTTCAATATTCTACTTTTTGATCTGGGTAGTGGTAACGGGGTGGTTTCTGGATTGCTCAATTTGTGGTAACTCAGTAAGCTACGCAGTTCTTATACGTATATTTTTCTAGGGGTACTGTACTTCATTTTCAACTAAAGATTAAAAAGAAAGAAGGGTTAAAAAGTCAAGCAATTAGATCCTAATGCACCCTGAGTTATAAGCTCCATCCCATATAATCAACTGTGCATCTTTTCCTAAAGTCTCCAGGAAGATTCTATCGCTTCTTAACGGTAATAACTAGTCTTTACTGAGCACTAATGTGTGTCAGGCATGCCTCTAAGTAAGTTACATGCATTAATTTCTTTAATCCTTTTAACACTTCATGAGTAGAATGACCTACCTCTTCCTGTGTGGGGTGTAGTACCAATTTACTCCTATTATCCCAGCAAAAATTACTGATAGTTCCCCCACGCTTTATTCTCAAAAGTGTCTGGGGTGAAATAATAAATTACATATTCACCCTGCCTATGAAGTGGGTGCTATTATTATCCTCTTTCTCTCTCTTTTATGTTTTTATAACATTTATTTATTTATTTTTTGGGAGAGACAGAGAGAGAGACAAAGTGTGAGCGGGGGAAGGGCAGAGAGTGAGGGAGACACAGAATCCAAAGCAGGCTCCAGGCTCTGAGCTGTCAGTGCAGAACCCGATATGGGGCTTGAACCCACAAACCATGAGATCATGACCTGAGCTGAAGTAGGACACTTAACCAACTGAGCCACCCAGGAGCCTCTCTCTCTCTCTCTCTCTCTCTCTCTCTCTCTCTCTTAATGACACACAGAGAAGATAGGTAATTTGCCCAAGGTCACAGAGCTAGTAAGCAGTAAAGTAAAACTTTGAACCCAATGTCTGACTCCTCACCACTAGGACATGCTGCCTTTCTTGTCCAAATTTCATTATTCTCGAAATTCAGAAAATTCTTCATGTCCAACTTTTCTTCTTTTTATGCAGTTTTAACCCATCTTCCAACACCTGGCATTTCTGGAAAGTGGGAGAGCTGCTCATCTCCTACAGTGAACCCCACAGCTGGCCCAACTCGCGTACAACGGCCTCTCAACATGTTCAGGCAATGAGTGGAACTCCTCTTCTCCCTTCTTTTTAAAAATGACATAAACATGCTCCACTTCACATTTACATTTACCTCATTCAATATGTTTTCCACCATTTCAATAGTATCCATGGGCCTTCATTCCATTTTTTCCATTTACTCATTCAGCAGATTATTCAACGAAGCCCTACTCTGTGCTGGGCACTGCAGGCCTAGCTGGCAATAAAGTGGTAATCAACAGGACAAGCACAGCCCATGATCTCAGGAGCTTACGGTCTGGTAGGAAAAACAGCCCTAAAGAAATGATGATGGAACAACTACCCATCCACAACACGGTAGGGGCTGGGAAGGGTGTAACGGGGAGCTTGGTCTGAGGAGCCAGCCAAGGCTTCTCCGAAAGAGTGACATTTGAGTCCAGCCTTGTAGGATGATGACTGGAGCTGGACTGGTAAAGCTGGCAGGACAGGGTGTTCCAGGCAGGGGTAGGAGTATATGCCGACAGCCTTGAGGATGAACGGAGTCAGGGCAGTTGTTGGAGCCAAGGAATAGCCCACGTGGCCGAAGCCTAGTGAACAGGGAAGTGAGTGTGGCGGGGAAGGCAGGTAAAAAGGCGGGGACAGCTGGACCGTGCAGCTCACAGGAGCCCAAGTAAGGCACTCTACCTGCAATGGGAAGCATTTGGACTCATTTGGTAGGAGAATGTCCTGGTCCTGTCCCCCTGCCGTGTTCCAATTCCTGGCTTTCAAATCATCTAATACTCTAAGCTAAGTGAAGAAGGAGGCCACCTCCATTCATCCATGTATCCCGAGAGTGTAGAACTTTTTTGGAATGTTTTAAGAACAGTTTTACAAATGAACAGCCTACCCCAAATGCCCTTGGTTACTAGAAACTTCTTCATCGTTTTTCGGTAACGCATTGCCAACTAGTCTACAGAGACTAAATTTGTCCAAAGTCCTGGACCACAGCCACCGTTGCATAATTTCACTATTCACCTTGTGCTCTGTTGGTGCTCAAAGAGCACTATTTACATAAACAATAAGAATAGCATCCCCCACAGTTGTGCAACGCAATGGCCCCCACGTAGGTTTAGCCTGTGCCTACTGAGATTTATATTTACTTGCTTTCATAGTTAGGTCTTTATTTATGAATCTGTGCCCTACCCTATTCTAAAAATGGTTTTAAAAGGCTTAGAAGGATAGAGAAAACAGAACAAGATAACATAACAGAGAGAGAACACAGATTCAAAGAAAGGGGGAAATAGAAGGAAAAAACAAGAGCAGGACCATAGAAACGATCCAGGAACAAGGTTATTACAAAAACGCATTCTTAGACTTTCATACGCTTGGCTCTATGTTTCCCAACAATCAGCATTGTTAGGATTTGAGGGGACTAATTAATTAAATCCTTCTTCAGAAATTGTGGAACCAATTAAGAAATAGGGCCGGGAAAAAATTAAATTGCTATTTCAGTTCTGATGCTGGTGAAGCAGGCTTGGAGAACTGGACTTGGGTCTAAGATCCAAAATATTCCTCCGTGCGAAGCATACTAACTCGCCCCCTGTCACAGGTGAAACAGTAGACAACTTCCCACTAACCCCTTTCAAGGAACAGAACCTGCCTGTCAATCCATCCATCACCTGGGGGAGGCAAGTAAAGAGAATAAAACACTCGCCCAAGGGCAGGTGATCCCAAGGGGAGACCGAGAAGCTATATATACCAGCAGTAGCCATTGTCCAATGTCACCAATCGATGAAATTATCCCCCACCCTGGGGTGGAAGTTACAAAAAGCAGAGAGAAAGGTAGGAAACACACCTACAATCATACCTTTTTGATACTGATCAACTACTCAGCTCTTAGCTGGTCTGACCCAAGCAGGCTTGGTCAAGTTTTTGTTTTGCCTTGCCTCTCAAATCATGACGTGCACACAGATTACCGGGAGATCTTGTTGAAGAACAGACTGCGATGCATGGGTCTGGGGTGGGGGTGACATTCTCTTTCGACAAGCTTCCAGGTGATGCTGATTCTGCTGGTCCACATCTAGAGTGTCCGGAACCGCGGTCCTTGACCTGGAGTCCACACAGAGTTCTTGAATTTAGAGGAGACCTGTGTATTTGGATGATAGACAATATACATTCTCATTTTTACTAATTTCTAACTGCAATTTGCCCTTTCCTTCTAGTATGAACGCAGACAACAACCCATAACCATACGAGAAGTGCCTGTGACTTTGTCACCAACAGAAATCTCCGGCATCTTCAGTATCGCTTTATCGTTATTGCGAATGTCTCCAAATTTCACTTCGTGATCTCTCCAAATACTACTGACGACTGGGAATCACAGTAGCTATTAAAGCTACTGCTAGCTCTTGCCATTTCACATGTTAATAAAGAGGTGCGTATATTATCATCTTGCAAATGAACACATTAGGACATTTTTAATATCTCAATAGCTGTATTTCACTATAATCGGTTCCCTTTGTGATCCTACACGTTTTATGTTTTTAACGGAGTTAAAAGCGGCATTCCAGGAAAGAGCACACAGACATCACCAGAATGCAGGAGGTTATAGAAAAGGTTAAGAATCCTCCATGAGAAAGGGAAGCGTTGCCAAAAGTGACCACTGACCCCAGGGAGGCGACAGGATGTCCTGTGGCTGAATTCTGGAGCCAGATAGCCTGGGTCTGAATCCTCCTTCCGAGGAGGCATGAGGCCCTGGGTAAGCGCTGACCCTCCCGTGCCTTGAGACCAGGGACTTCAAAGGGGGCAGTTAGAGAACTAAATGAGTTATTATTCTTTTTTAATGTTTCTTTTTGAGAGAGAGACACAGCATGAGCAGGGGAGGGGCAGAGAGAGAGAGGGAGACACAGAATCCGAAACAGGCTCCAGGCTCCGAGCTGTCGGCACAGAGCCCGATGCGGGGCTCGAACTCACAGACCGCGAGATCGTGACCTGAGCCGAAGTCGGACGCTCAACCGACAGAGCCACCCAGGCGCCCCCATGAGTTACTAACTTTGAGGTGCACAGAACAGGGCCTGGCTCAGAGTGAACAAACATCTTAGAGTTAAGTGTTGCCTAATAGAGAGTATGAGACCTGTATTCAGAAACTCAAACGAACAAGCATGTATTCAGCACCCCCAAGGAGACAGAGACGGAAACCGCAAATCCCCTGCCGTCACGGCGTCCGCAGGCCCAGTGGGACAGACGGCCAGCAAGCCCAGTGAAACGTGAGCTCCGTCTCACACCCCAGGAAGGCACCGTCTGTGGGAGGAGGGAGCCCCTGGCCGGCTGGGAAGAAGGAAAGGAAGGTTCACGAGAGGCTCGCCGAACACCCACCAAAGCGTTCCGAGGTAGGCAAACGCATCCCATTGCCTCCCGGCTACGGCCTCTGCTGGTGTCTTACTTACATTACCCCCAGGAGCTCAGAATGCCTCCTAGAAGCTCAGTGACCAGATTCCTTGCTAGCATCTTCCCACTTTGTCGGAGTTTTTCGCATCTGGGCACCACTCCCCAGATGCCGGCCGTCCACAGCACCGTAAATAACAGACAGGCTTGCGCACGGCACCAGCTCTCTACCAGGACAGAGAGAGTCGCTCTGCTTCTCAATACCAAGCGCTGCCCCCTCTGCCTGTGCCCACAGACCGCCCCCCCCCCCCAGCCTTCAGGGCACAGCGGGAGAACGATCCCTGCAGGAAAGCAGCCCCGAGCCAGACGTGAAACACCACGACCTCCTCTCGGCCACCGCGATGAGTACTCGGGGCTTCCTGCATATTCTGTTCAGTTAGTATAACAACAATGCTGACTCCCGTTTGCGGGGCTCAGCTGTGTGCCAGGCACTAGGTGCAGCGTCCCCGTCTCTATTTGGCCGGGCCTGCCGTCGCAAAGCACACAGCCTGGGCGGCTTAGCCCACAGGAATGTATTTGCCCACAATTCCGGAGGCTAGCAAGTCCAAATGCAAGATGTTGGCAGGGCTGGCCTCTTCTGAGACCCCTGTCTTTGACTTGGGTAGGGCCGCCTTCTCTCTGTGGCCTCCCATGGCCTCTCCTCTGTGCACGCATCGGTGTGCTCTCCCCTCGTCTTCTCAGGAGGACACCAGTCATATGGGCTTCGGGCCCATCCCGGTGGCCTCATTTTAACTCGATTACCTCTTTAAAGATCTTACCTCCAAATAGGGTTGCATGCTGAAGCACTGGGGGTTAGGGCTTCGAAACAGGAAGTGGCGGAGGGGGCTCACAGTTCAGCCCCTCACGCTGTCTAACCCACAGGGAGCTATCGTCCATGACGACTAATGACTTGCCTGAGGGTCACGCAGACAGGGGAGCCACGCTTGGAGCCAGGGCACTTTAGTCCACAGCCAGCCCTCTGCCCAGTCTACCAGCGTCCTACTGGCACAGCCCCTGGATGCACCCCAGGGGCATGGAGATGCCCCGACTCAGTCCCAGGGAAGGGGCCTTGGGGTGCTGTACTTTGACAAATCCCTGAGGCAGCACAGAGAAGAACCTCTTCGTGACACCGCGTGGACTCCCCTTCGTGTCCCAGTCCTCGGAACGGCTGTCAAGGAGCGTGGGCACTCGTGCGTGGTCTCCATTGCCGGGGGCACGAGCGCTCCCCCGGGGGAGCTTATCTGACACGGGATGCGATGCCGATGTTTGGTTCCGAGGCAGGTTGTAGGGGACCCCCCACCACGCCCTTCCCTGGCCCTCTTCTTCCTTTCCCTTGGGTGCAACCTCCCCGGGCAAAACCAAGCCCCACCAGTGACCTAGGTCAGTGGAAGGAGAGCTGGAGGCTGAGCTCGACCCACCTGATTCCCCCCCCCCCCCGACCCGCCCGACCACTGCCCTCAGCCTCCAGCCCCAGGGTCCCCTCAATGCTCAGTTTAGAAAGCACTGGTAGGAGCTCTGCACGAGCTGGATTGATCCTGGACTAGTCTGTTTTGCTGGCTGACAGTTCGATCCAAGTATGAACGAAATGCCACCCACTGCATAAAGAGGGCAGTCTGCTAAGTTTTGACATATGTAGGCACTTATGGAACCATCACCACAATCGAGGGAACGAACATGTCTGTCTCATCCAAAGGTTCCTCCTGCCCCCTTGTAACCCCTCTCTTGCCCCTCTCAGCCCATACCCACCCCCCATGAGATGGGAATTAATGTTCTCGTCTAATAAGTAAGAAGTAAGAAAACTAAGGCTTAAGGAGGCTAAGTGATGGGAGAGAGGGTCTGGCTTCCAAGCCTTGCCCTTAACCTTGCTCTGTTTCCCGGGCAGTGTAGTCCAGTGGTCAGGAGTGCAAACCCGCAAGTTTGTCCACACGGTTTCAGTCTTGACTCCACCATCAGCTGTGTGATCCGGCACAGGTCGCCAATTACCTATGTTCCCAGGCCCTCCTCTGTAAAACAAGGATAATGAAATCTGCCCCATATGGTGGTTGTAGGATTGAATGAATTAAAAGACACAAGGCATCCACGACGGTGCCTGGCACACAGCCGGGTCTGATACGCGTTTCCTATTTTGTACCCTGTTCCTCATTCCCACCCTGAACTCTTTTGTGCAACACCCCAGCGTCACAGACACAGAAGCATATGTCCTGAATAATTCGACATTTCCTCCTTGCCTTAGCCCTTCTCTCAACATCTCCCGAGCCCCCTTGAAGCACAGGACTCTCTGGGCTCTGCGCTGTATCACATGCAACGGTGAATGAGGTCCCCGTGGTTTCAGACTTGAAATTTCTGCTCAGACTTTTCCCTAGCGGTCTATAAGTCACTTCCTCTTCTTTTTAAAGCGAAGACGAGATTATTTGACGAAACGGAAGCACAGAATCATTTTTGCACTCCAGTGGATTTTTGCAAGAGTTAAACGGTGCCAGATTCATAATTTGTTCCTATTCTTCCCGTGCCTTTCTTCACCGTCTTTGAATGCTTTGTGTCCCAGTCAGAGCAAGAAAGCAGGGGCTTTCTCAAGGAAACTCGAATAACATATTATCACTGTAAGGATCATCATGACAGATGATGGTCGCAAGAATCATTAAGTCTTGGTGTAAAAATCCATTCAGGGAAACTTAGTTTGGGAAGAATAGACTTACAGAGGAATATAGACTTTGCCAGATGGAAGAATGCCTTTCTTAATAGACAAGACAGTAGGACCCATTCTCGGGGCTCTTTTGTCTGCTAGGGAACAATCTCTCTTCCTTTTCATCTCCACTCGCAGCCCCTTGCCCACACTCAACAGACTACAGAACCGGACAAGGAGTCCTTCTGGGCCTCGACCAGTATTGCAAGACATCAGACCACATTCTACAGCCAGAGAAAGCTCTGACAACACACATACATAAGCACGTACGTGTACGTATGTCCACACTTGTGCATATACTCACACATACAGACACTTCAACTTACTTTCAAATTAGGTAGTTTCTATTCCAAAGTGACACAATTTTTACCCACCCTGACAATGTTAAGGACCCCTTCCTGGGGCACCTGGTGGCTCAGTCAGTTAAGCTTCTGACATCAGCTCAGGTCATGACCTCACGGTTTGTGAGTTCGAGCCCCCGTCGGGCTCTGTGCTGACAGCTCAGAGCCTGGAGCCTGCTTCGGATTCTGGGTCTCCCCCTCTCTCTGGCCCTCCCCTGCTCATGTGCTGTCTCTCTCTCAAAAATAAATAAACATTTAAAAAAAAAGGACCCCTTCCTAATGACCCAAACAAACATTTTTGTTTTTTTTAATTTTTTTTTCAACGTTTTTATTTATTTTTGGGACAGAGAGAGAGCATGAACGGGGGAGGGGCAGAGAGAGAGGGAGACACAGAATCAGAAACAGGCTCCAGGCTCTGAGCCATCAGCCCAGAGCCTGACGCGGGGCTCGAACTCACGGACCGCAAGATCGTGACCTGGCTGAAGTCGGACGCTTAACCGACTGCGCCACCCAGGCACCCCAAACAAACATTTTTGAATGCGAAAGCGAGAGAGACAGAGCATGACCAGGGGAAGGGCAGAGAGAGAGAGGGAGACACAGACCCCGAAGCAGTCTCCAGGCTCTGAGCTGTCAGCACATGAGATGGTGACCTGAGCTGAAGCCAGATGCTAACCCAGGTGTCCCCAAACCAACATTTTTTTAATGGATAAGGTTTAGATCAGTCAAATCTTAGAATCTATCCCATGAGTATGGAAAAGTTTTCCTTAGGTACATATTGATCCTCAGAAACACAGTTTGATTTTCTCGGATAATTAAAGGGAGATTATGCCACTGGGCCTAAAAAGATAGTATCGTTTCTTATCACCTGGCATCCAGCAGATAGCTGTCTTAATTTAAAAGACCCTTAAGGTCAATGCTTATTTAGTTCCTTGCAATAATCTGTTTTGCCATAATTCTGCTTTCCTACTTATTTCCCTTATCTAAAGCAGCATTTTCCAATTTGTGTTTTGCAGGACAATAGATGCATGAGGTGTTAATAAGCATCCCTGGGGTGCTGAAAAATAAGTGGTTCTGTAAGCAAATAAATTTGGGGAATGCTGGGCGAAAGAAAATTAAACAAGTTTCTTTACTGCAGGACTTCTCAGGGCCTTTAATATGCTACTGTGTGTTACAACTGGGTGGGACAAACAGGATTAAAGAGGTGAGTTTGTAACGCATGTGGCACAACCAATCAATGTCAATTTTTATAATTATTAGCTGTCATGATTTGAGTTCGTCCCAAACTGATACGTTAAGAGTGTCCTCCTTCCATAGAGCAGCTCCCTGGATTTAATGTTCCATGGAATGCATGCCAGGAAAGGCCAATCTAGCTCATTCCCTATTAATATTTAATAAGTATTTTACTCATTTCTGTGAGCAAAGAAATAAGGTAAAATGTAGTGCCATGGAGAAGTGCATAGTATAAAAAAGAAAGTTACTACTGATTTGGAAGCAGTTAGTCCTATTACTTTATATCTCCCGAAAAGTGGTCGCATCCATGCACATGGATTATTTATTAAGGGAAGAATTTTTGTAACACAGGAAAAAAAATCCACAGGTGACATTTAGTAACCCATTCATCTATTAAAATACACACACACACACACACACACACACACACACACACACATATAATATAACAGGAGGGTTTGTTCTGTATTACATATTGTTCTAGGTCCTAAGGGTAAAACCAGGTAACAGGTAGACTATATCCCTGCCCTCAGCGTGTTTTGCATTCTAGTGGAGAAGAGAGATAATACACAGATAAATAGGTAAGTACATAGTATATCAGTATTAGTGCCCTAGAGAAAAATTACTCAGGGTAAGGGGACTAGGGAGTGCCAGTATTGTGGTGGTGGTATATGTTATTTTAAACAAAGGAGGCACAAAGCCTTCATTGATCCCATGAAGCTTCAGCAGAGACCTGAAAGCAACAAATGACAAACCGTGCAGGGGATGGAACGTGCCCGGAGCCTCTGGGTAATATTGAGAAGACTTTGGCTACAGGGGGGCCAGTGGCGGGGAAAGTTGGAGAAGATCCAGTTGGAACAGTAATGGGGCAGGCAAAGAGCAGGAGGGCAGATCGTCTGGGGCCTTGGAGGCCTTTGTCAGATTTGGGTTTTTACTCTGCAGATCCTCTACAGGACCTTGAACAGAGGAACGATACCTTGATTTGTTTCGAAAGGATCACACTCTCTGCTCTATTGAGAAGGCAAAGGTGGGAGCAGGGACCCTAATCCAGGCACAAAGCACCATGGTGGCTTGGACCCAGTAGGTATTGGCAGAAGAAGCTCCAGGAATGAAACTCATTGTGGGAAAAGTAACACCTGTCAGGCTGCTCATCCTTCAATATCCTGCAGAGAGGGGGGCTGACACATGAAGGAAGGCTATCTGTCTTTCTAGGATTGAGATGTCCGGCGGCCATGGTTGATCTTTGTTCACTGGATAAGTCAAACTTCAGCTCGTTAGCAACCTGCCATCTTCTTCCTATCCAAAGAGATGCGTGCAATCAAGATCTAAATCAAGATGCCTAGTGGATTACCATAGCTACAGGTGCCTGGCAACCAGGATTAGACTGATGGCCATTGATCTATGGGCTCCAGATTCTCCCCGGGGATGTAATGCACTGTAAAGGGCATCCAAATTCCTGAAATAGTCTGAAACAGAGAGAAAAACATTCAGTCATCATCTCGTTCTGATTGGCCTTTGCCTCCCACAGACAAGTGGCCAGCTCACAAACCCCACACCAGATTAAGGCTTTCGGGGTCATTCCTCAAATAGGGGGACTACTGGAACTAACCAGTAGCAGAAAGTTTCAAAAAACAGAGACAAAGAAACTGGTTGTAAGGACAAAGGAAATGAAGGTAATCAAAAAGATATTTGACAGGCCAATGCTGGAGCAGAGGAGGGAGCAAAGAGTGAGCAAGAAACTGAGGGACAGGGTGTAATTCAGGGGTCAGCAGACTATGATCCATGGGCCAGATTGGCCTACTACCCATCTTTCGTAAATAATTTTCAGGGGAAAAGAGCCATGCTCCATTCATTTCCATATGGTTTACAGCTGCTTGCAAGGTGTGATGGCAGAGTTGAGTAGTTACAAGAGACTACGTGGCCCACAGATACTTACATACCTACTACGTGGCCATTGGCAAAACTTCGTGTCTAGGTTGTTCCCATATGGGCTGGAGGACTTAAGGTTGCTCTTTTTTGCTCACCAGACTACTTGGCCTGGCTTATGGCACTGAACTCTGGTGGGCCATGCTAAAGAAACACTGAGACGTTTCAAAGAGATAGCCAACATCACTTTCATGAGGAAAGATGAGAAGTCGTACAGCAACAGCCTCAGTGTTTTACCTTAGCTCACAAGGTACCAGACAGTATCTATGCCTCGGGACCTAACACCACACACAGAAGAACAAAAAACAGACGGGAAATGTGGGAGAGAAGGAAGGATGAGAAATGGAGCATGGCATCGGGACCTCAAACTTGTTTCAATCAATTTCACTGCTGTGGACTGAGTTGTGTCCAAAATTCGCATTGGATTCACGTCAAAGCCCTAACCCCCAGTGTGATGGTATTTGGAGACGGGCCTTGGGGAGGGGGGCGTACGTAATTAGGCTCAGAGGGTGTCATTAGGGCGGGGCCCTCATGATGGAATTAGATCCCCTATAAGAAAAGACACCAGAGAGCGCCTCCCACCTCCCTCTCCCGTGTGAGGACACAGTGAGAAGACAGCCATGCGCAAACCAGGAAGAGGGCTCTCACCAGATCTGACGATTCTGGCACTCCGATCTCAGATTTCCAGCCTTCAAATCAGGAAGAGAATAAGTTTCTAGGCTTTGGGGTTTTTTTTTTTTAATTTTATTCCTTTGTTTTGAGAGGGAGAGAGTGAGAGAATCCCAAACAGGCATCACACTGTCAGCACAGAGCCTGACACAGGGCTTGAACTCACGAACCGTGAGATCATGATCTGAGCCAAAATCAAGAGTCAGAGGCTTAACTGACTGGGCCACCCAGGCGCCCCAAGTTTCTATTGTTTAAGCTACCTCGTCAATGACATTTGTTATGGTGGCTCAAGCAGACTAAGACACTGAACTGCCTGACCCTGTAGAACGTGACTCTGGGAGCAGCCGAACAACCATGGCTGCTGAGAGAAGATCACAGAAATACCATATTTCTTCTCCCATTCCATGACTAGTGCTCTCCCTTCCCAATCTCCAGGAAAGCCAAATTTCAATTTTTTCTCTTCCAAGCACCCAACCGGGAGACAACCAGGAAAATGGAACAGGTACAAGAGGCTGGTTCCAGTTTTCCAAGAATCTCTTCCTAGTTAATTGCCCATGGACACCATCCAATGTCCTCCAGGCTTTCCTGCAGTGCTTCCATTTGCTGCTAATTATTTTCTGGAAACAGAGCCCTTAGAAACAGGCTCCAAAAAGCTTAAAACCAAGGTACAAAACTTCAAGGATTCTGGTTTCTTTCTTTCTTGCAACCTAGCTTATTAGAGAATACTAGTGACCACCTAAGCTGCATCTCTGTTGGGTTGGGAGGGTTTTGAGAGCTATTAGACCTTCAATAACTCAAAGAGCTGCCCAAGATTCGGGGCGGGGGGGGGGAGGTAAAATAAGAACCATATTGTACCCTCTCCCGCTGCCATATTGCATTGACTGTGAGACACCTGCTATTCCCATGACCTTTCTTATCCTTTGTTGAGAGAGGGAGTTGAGCTTGGTTTGATGGCAAAATAATGTCAGATCTTTCTCTAAAAGTGTTGGGCCAGGGCCGGAAAATGCTGTTGACAATGCCAAAATTGTTTCTTTGATGCCCTGAGGTGATACAAATAATTCACCCCTAAAAGGCTGGAGCAGTGGGCTCTGGGGTCCACAGAATGACCATCTGTCCCACCTCCGCTCCTAAGGCCACAATGCAAAAGGATGAGCAGATCCCACAGGCAGCTGGGTGACGGTGGTATTTTTGTATTATAGGTTTTGCTTTTTTTCTTGAGAGCTTTCTGTCTGTAGATTGTTTATTTCTCACACTTAACTGTTGTTCTGTTACACCTGAAAAGGGTCTAGCGGGAGGAGAATGTTCATGGGCTCTGATTTCCCTGTGGGAAAAGTATATGCAGGGCTCACAAGGTTGTCCTTTTGCTGAGCTGTAAATCAGTGCTGTTTGGAACATTGCCTCTCCTTTTGAAGACTGGAACAGGTGAAAACATATATTTAAATTTAACTGGTCTGAAAGTGGCTAATAGAAAACTTGGCAAACCACAAAGAGGTCAAGAGCCAAGGGAGAACTACAGTGGTCAGTAAACATGCTAATAAATGTTAAATTTCACAATAACCAAAATTACAAATGCAAAATCCAATAGTAAAATACCAGTTTTTGACTATCACATTAGCAAATCCTTTCTTTTTTTAAAGATAGTACCTAAGGTTCATAAAAATAATATCCGGGGCCATGAAGGTATGGAGAATTGTAGAATCATGTAGTCTCGTACAGTAGAGTGAATTTTTAAATTTTCTTTTTTAAAGAAAACTTCCTAGGAGGTACTTGGGCTTTATATTTAAAGATCTTATAATTTTACATAAACTTTTCACTTTAGAAACGTGTCCTATGAGATTTCACTTCCATAAATGTAACCTAAAGCAATAATATGGATACACAGGACTCAGAGTAGTGTGATGGTTAATTCTGTGTCAACTTGACTGGGCCATGGTGCCCAGATATTTATTTGCTCAAACAACATTCTGAATGTTTCTGTGAGGGTGTTTTGGGGGTGAGATTGACATTTAAATCAGTGGAATTTGAGTAAAGCAGATATCCCTCCATAACGCGGGTGGGCCTCATCCAATCAGTCAAAGGGGTTTGACGGAAATAGAAAAGCTGATCTTCCCAGAGCAAGAAGTTCTGCCAGCAGATGGCCTTTAGACTTGAGCTGCAATATCAACTCTTCCCTGGGTCTCCAGGCTGCCAGCCCACCCTGGAGATTTTGGACTTGCCAGCCTCTATAATCATGAGAGCCAATTTATTTTAAAATCACAATAGATGTTAGATGATAGATAGATAGATAGATAGATGACAAATAGGTATCCTATTGGTTCTATTTCTCTAGAGAACCCTAATTCAGGGGGCAATGAGAAAAGAGCTTTATTCTCTTCTTCAGCTCTGCACCTTTCAAACCACTTTATGGGGCTGATTCATCCCGTCCATCCAAGGAAGCTTGAGTGAATTCCATGAGATTTGTGGTCATTTTCACATAATAAAACTCCTCCCATCACTCCTAGTCACCAAATAGACTAACTTCCATTTTGTGTTGACTCTCACGTCAGAAGAATAAAAGCTCAGATTTCATCTAAAATTCCAATTCCTTTCCTCCTCCATCCTGGCCCGCTACAGTCTCGAAATCTGTAGTGTGCAGGGGCTGTGGGTGGCTTTGTCTGTCTTCCCCATCCAGGTACTCTTGCCTCCTCCCCTCTCGCGAGGCTATCTCCTCCTCCGGAGTCGGTGTGGGAGGAAGGGGAGGGAGAGGTCGGGTGAGGGAAAGAGCTCAGCTGCTGGGCCTGGGCACAATGGCACATCGTTTCCACGTCATGGAAGCTATTGAGATCGTCTTCCTCGTGGAGGCAAGTTCGTGGATTCTTCAGGAACTGAACCACTACTCCTTCACCCCAGCCCGTCACCGGGATCATGTGCCCTCTTTTCCTTAGCATGGACTGTGCTTCCCCGCCTCACCCCCTCCCCCCGTGACCCCTACAGCTCCCTAGCCTTCCGCAGGCCATTCCACATGGACTTCCTCTTTCCCTTCCTGCTGCCCCCTCCCTCCCTCCCCACACAGCCTTTGGCTGCTTCTTTGAGGCACAGGAGGCCGACATCATTCCTTCCCCCAGAGCAGCTAGGCAGCCTTCACCTCTGACCTTTAGGCGTCTCCAGGTGAGGTTCTGTGGGAGGCACACATTTCTAAGCTCACTCTCTTGGGTAGATCTGCGTCTCCTTGAAAGTCCGGCTTAGGCCACCTAGCTAACCTCCCTCTGGAACGCACCCACCTCAGCTGAAACGCAGAGAAGGCCAGCATTGTAACATATTTATATACAACCTCCGGACACAAGACGGTCATCTGTGTTGTCTACACGTCGAAAGTTAAGTCTCAGAGAAATGCATTAAATTTTCTGAGATCACACAATCAGTCTATGGCAGAGCGTGGATTCGAACCACTGACCGTCCAATTTCCAGCTTGAGCTCTCGGTGCCATAATGAAAGGGCTTCGTAGGAGGGTTGGCCTTGTCATGACTCCCATCCTCTCTCAAAGCATTCCCTTAGTTCACTGAGCCAACATAGGGGGCTTGGGGAATAGTCCACCCCCACGTGGGCCCACGGGAGCCTGGCAGGAAGGCTCCACACACTGCATAGGAGTCCTGGGAGAGCAGAGCTCCAGTGCAGCCCAGAAGCCCCCAGCTTAGCAGTTCCCCATCATCTCAGAGCCGCGAATGGCACAATCCATACACTTCGCTCTCCTGATGGATGCAAGGGAAGCACAATGTGAGCACCGAACGTTAGTACGCGTCTATGAAAGTCATTATCAACATCACGGGGAATGAGAGAAAAACACAGCATCTCTATTTACAGTGAGGGAAAGACAAAAAAACACTCTTCCAAGCATATGCTTAATCACACTTCC